ACCTCGAATCACCAACGGGAGTGGTCGTCAGGTGTGCCTTGTCCTCCTTGTGTTAATATTTTATTTTCCCTTTTTTCGGAAGGAAGGGTGTCGGATGCCGTTTCCAAAAGAAAAAAAAAATCCACGACGGACCTAATAGAAAGTGTTCTAGGAAATCATACCTTATATTATTATTATTATTTTTTTTTTATGATTTCCTACTTTGTAATGCCTGAAGGTGACATGCAGAAGGCACAGAACTGACCATGCACATAAATATTCTATGGCATGTCGCCTCACTCGAGCTAAAGGAAAGAGCGAGATCGAGTCGACGTCGGGGCGATCCTCTTCAACTTGGTCCTCGTGGTTATTTCAACGTGTAACTCGGCTGTGCTGGGTGCTAGATATACCGTATGTGCAGATACATACGGTATATACATGAGAGAGACAGGCAGGGAGACGGGTACTGATACGGAGTGACGGAAGGACGGAGGGACGGAAGGACGGACGGACTATACGGATGAGACGGACTGACGGGACGGAAGGACGGAAAGGACGGAAGGACGGACTGACGGAGGACGGAAGGACGGAACTGACGGAAGGACGGAAGGACGGACTGACGGAAGGACGGACGGACGGACGGACGGACTGACGGAAGGACGGAAGGACGGACGGACGGACGGACGGACGGACTGACGGAAGGACGGAAGGACGGACGAACGGGCAGTCAGTTATACAGTCAAACAGTCAGACAGACAGATAGACAGAGGCAGTGACAGAAAAGAGTCTGAGACAAAGTGACGGACAGACAGGCAGAGATAGTGAGTAAAAAGACAGAAACAGAGAAGCAGAGACAGACAGACAGAAACAGAAACAAAGACAAAAAAAAAGAGAGACAACAGAGAAGCAGAGACAGACCGACAGAACACGACAACAAACCGACAGAAACAGAAACAAAATAAAAAAAAAATAAGAAAGACATATCCAGCCAAAACGACAGACAGAGAAAAGGAGACCACATATTTTACCTCCCATCTACCACGAGCCGCTCAAACACCCACCTTCTCTCTCTCTCTCTCCGTCCTACAGAGCGGCCGGGACATTCGGATGTTTCTCTCCAGCGATAAGATTCCGACGTCCGGTATGGCTGACGACATGATCACAGGTAAGAAAAAAAAATAAATAGATATATAAATAAATAAATAATAGATAATAATAATAGTAGTAGTAGTAGTAATAAATCTCCGTTGTGCGCACTTCTCGTATGCGCTGTGTGCGTGCGTCTGCATGTGTGTTTGTGTGTGTGTGTGGGTGTGTGTGTGTGTGTGATTGTATGAGATGCTCCTGTCTTGTCCTACATCAACCTGCCGCTCACCCAGTTTGCCTTGATTGGTTTCCTACCCTGTCCTACAGTGTCCTATGTATCTGTGTCACTGGGGGTCGAGGCACTTGGGGGAGTGCCAGATGCGAGAGGATGAACTGGGTCAAAGGTCACGGTAAGCTGGCGCGAGGGGTGTCATCGGTGTGACCGCTGTATATAAGGTCAGAGCTGGAGTATGTAGAGAACGGTGAAGCAGCGATGTTAGGGTTCAGTACATGGCTCGGGTTTAACTGATGTACTTTTTTTCTTTAAGATACGTGTGTGGGTGTGTGTGTGTGTGTGTGTGTGTTTTGTGTTTGGTGTGTTTGTTTGTGTGTGTGTGCGTGCGTGCGTCCGTCCGTCCGTGCGTGCGTGCTTGCGTGCGTTTAGTCATTTCCACTCAATACTCCAAGACCACTGACCAGAAACAATTCAATCCCATTTCTCACTACATCATTTCTCCCTCGACAAAAAAAAAAAGAATCTTACTCGAATCAACGCAACAAAATCATACATCTTTATCCCAAGCAAATAACGACTCAAACCAGAGCGAGCCTTGAGGTGCATGCCGGTACTTCCAAGCACAGAGAAAGGCGGTGAACAGAACATCGGCCTTGGGTCTTTAAGAGAGAGGGAGAGAAAAATGAGGAAGAGGAAAAGACGGAAAAGAGGCCACATCTCACCCCGGGAAAGGAAAAAGTCATATTTTTTCTTTACGATCGATTTTCTTTGTTAACATCCGTAGGCAGTAATAAAAAGCATGATTTATAGGTAGTGATTAAATTGCTTAAAGAGAATGCAAAGGATATTAGACGTCCTTTGTGTGTTTTGTATTTCACTTCCTAGTACTATATGTAAACAAAAATATCATAGAAATAAAAATTAAATGTCTACACTAGAACTGTCCTTAGCAATGGAGACGATATTTTACATTTAAATTTGTGAATGAAATTATGATCCAGCTCTCATGTACATAATCAAGTCAAATTACAATATTTCCAATAAGTATTCTAATGTGTATTATCATTAGTTGTTTAAGTAAAATGTACGTAAGTGTCTCCTTATATACCGTTCTCTTACATCGTTGGTTGACATATCAGAAAACGTATAAAAAAAAATAGGATAAACTATAGAATTTTAGAATGATACTTTTCGGGTTAG